GGCAGAAATCCCGTTTCTTCCTCGGTTACCAGCGAGAGGTGGGAGGGCAACAGGATTCCTTCGGAAGATGCGTTGCTCAATCGAGCGGCTCATTAAAAAATTACCGCAGCAACAAACAACGCGAGGAAGACCGATGTTTAATTTGCGATTATAATGCGATCGGACTTGCATCCTGCGTCACGAGTCCTGCACGTAATTTCAATCCTGCGCCGGTTGTTTCCTTCCTCGTTAAACGCGTCCGCGTCCCTCTGTCCCTCCGTGCGACCATTTCGCATGCTGTCCTCTTACGGTCCTTGCTCAAGGATCCGCGTAGGTTTCATCGCGGGCGGATCACCGGCCAGACACCACGAGCATTAATTCGAGCTTCACCTGCCTTGAACCCTCCGCGAAGTCTGCATCCTATTTTTACGAGAATCCCGACCGCAGACATGAATCATTGCGGTAGAGTAACCTTCCGATATATAAACTGTGGCTTGTTTCGAGCGGAGATTATTCAGATATCGAAGACAACTGAAAATCGACGAGATGCACGTAAGGTTTAACCCCTTAACTTGCACGCTCGAGTTAATTCGAGCACGCTAAACGGGCCGAACTGTGAAAGTAACAATGTGAAAGCAAAGAAAAAAAATCGTTTTATTGGCATTTATCATTTACATGGGATTGTAAGCTATAACACTTAAGAAGAATAGACAAAAAATGCATTAGTACAGTTCGTAAAATGAACAGCTATAGCTGTTTGCGGCAATGGGTTAATGTAGATTAATTAATGCTGTCATCGAGCTACCAAAGTGTGAGTTTACAGCAAATTCCGCATCGATGAAACGTTGGATAAAAATATAGTTGATAGTTGATTCGACAGATTCGAAAGGCTCGATATAATGATCCGATACACACTGCTGCTAACGAGAAGCTACATTCCTTAATCCGCGAACGCGCCGAGCAGATTGCAAGACCTTTGAATTAGCAACTCAGTTAGGACATCGAGTAGATGTTGGTCGAGTTGAATTCGCTTCTCGGCTGAGTCGATTAAGAAAATCCATCAGCAGGACTCGGAGAAAGGGACCCATTGCGACACTCCTAATTCGTTCTGCTCTATAGTCGCGCGATTAGCCTGCCAGCGTATTAGCCGCAATGAGCTTGCGCTCGTCCCACGCTGCTGCCTACTCTATCCCGACTTTTAACCCGTTGCCGTGCAATGAGACTCGTGATGGAGATTTCGGGATTACCTTAATAAACATGAATATTGTTCAATGCGCATGGATCGAAGCAAACCGCTATTTTGTTATCATCGATATACTATCTTGAAAGAAAATTCGTACATAAAGTGCAGTGGACGATTTCTTTGCGTCTTTTCTAAACTGCTGATAGAAACATTTTGCACGAGCTTAGTAGCAAAGGTAAATACGGCAAGGGGTTAACACGCGCGAGCGAGGCGAATCTTTCGCTTGGTTATGGTCGAAATAGGGTTAAAAAATAACATTCTCGAATGCTTCCATTCATCCTTTGATTTTAACGCTGGAACGATGCAGACAAATTCATGCTTTCGAATCTTCGTATAGAAACTGTAAAAGTATATTCATAACAGATATTTTCAGAAACGTCATTTTCTGGGCGGGACCGTGTTAACCCTTTGCACTCGAAAGGTGCCTCTCAGTCACCAGTCGATTGATCTATCAAAATTGTAAAATTTCATATTTGTAGGAGAAAGAGAATTTTATTAGAAATAGCATAATCCTGTATCATTCTCGCATTCTTCGAACAAGTCTCGAAACGTTCAGCTTCACGGCTGCGAGGTATAAACTACTCGATGCACAATCGGGCGACGCTGCAGTTTTCAGCGCAGTGATCCACGGGTGGAACGCAGAGAAAGTTAATGCGAAAGCATCCCGGCGGGTGAAAAAAAATAGACTGTTCCGAGGATATCTTTAACAACCTCGTTCACCTTGGTCCGCGGTTAATACCCGCGGCGACGAGTGGCTCTGACATTTCGCCAGCTGCATCCTGCAAGTCACGATTCGAGTTGCATCCCTTTTACTAATTCCACCACTGTCCGCTGCTTTCTGTCCTTTCTCCTCCGCTCGGCTCCTTTATTCATCGTCGACGAAGCTGTTCGGCCGGTCACCCTAGAATCCATCGGTTCCTCGCGGATCTCGTTCGTTCGTCACGCAGTGCAATGGAATATGTCGAGCAGATTTTGCAATTGCTCGCTGAATGTGTAATAAGGATTCGTATGACGAAGGTAATTCGTTCGGGATGACGCAATGACACTCCAATGATCGTCGAGGAAACACGAATGCGCGAGTTAACTCTCTATTGGCCGAACTTTGTTCGTGATTATAACAAAATCTATGCAGTAAAATTAATAAATATCCACATACGAATACGAGTTAACAATGTATTCAACAGTTCCAATAATTTCATCGAACGGATATATTTTGTAACTTTCAAGTTACAATGAAACTTTCACGCCTGAGCGTACGAAAGTTGAAGTTAACCGATTACTTAATTCACCACTTGCAAACTGAAGTAAACCGACAAGATGCCAGTATACTGATACGTGAGCTCAAAGTTACACGAGCCTACAGAGGGTTAATTTGATGGTGGAAATTGGGGGCATCAACGTCAAAAGAAATCGTCAGTTACGATGAACGATTCAGATGGAAATGTTGCGAAGTCGGTAGATGCTTCAACGTGTCTATCGAAAGATTACTGTTGAGAACCTTACGTTCTCCTGAAAAATGGTCAACCACCGACACCGGGTCAACTACCGGCGTCACTTCGCGAGTCTTCTATAAGTTAGCTCGCGACTATAGTTGGTAACGTCGGCAGAATGGAAGAGAAAGCTGAAAAAAGAAGCAGCCGGTCGCGACGACTTCCCGGCAGTTTCACAATGCGCTCGTCAGCATTCTTCTGGGCAGTCGATCAACGCGGAGGGCGATTTTAGTAATAATCGCGTCGCCGTCGCGAGCGTTACGCGCCGGCGCGCCAATTAGCTCGACCAATCCACTGTTGCAGAGAAAATGCTGCGATACGACAATTCCGGCTCGACTGATTGCGCGCGCGGTTGTGCAATTTCGCGGGGTGCAATTAGAAAGAGGCGATAATTATTCGGCGTGTGTCTGCCCCTCCCGCGTCTCGGTTACGCGACCAAGGCCACGGCCCGAATACCATCCCGCCGACATTTCGCTGCGATTTGCAATCTCGCGGATGACACTCTCGAGATTCCAATTTAGGTTCGTCGATTTATCGTTCACCTTCGGTCGCGATGCCCTCGCGATAACACGGAGCACGTTCTATTAGCGCGTTCCGCCGCAGCGTCTAGGAATCGACAGTGTCGACGATGCTAGAACTAGCGGTCAAATTGACATTTTCAGATTCTATGGGGACTGAGAATGCGGCTATTGAGGCTTCGAGTGACTTGCGATTCATTTTACGCGCTAAATCAATTTCCTTGGTAATTTAGAAGCATCTGTCATCTGTTTAACACTGGAACTACCCTATCAGTCGAAATGACTGGTTTCAGTTTTCCTGTTTCGCAATTATTGATATCTTTGAAGCATTGAATATCCGAAATGATTTCTAAAATAAATAGTTTCACTTGAATACTATGACGAATGTCTGAAGATACTGAAAATAATCTATTGCTACAATATTCATAGCGATTAGATTTCAATCGTATCGAATGCTCGGTAGTTCTAGTGTTAACCAGTTAACTGTGGAATTTAGTTGCAAAAACCTCTCATTTCGCGCGATTGAATTGAAAAATGGCGCGTGTACTCGTCGAACGCAGGACGAATGCGCGTAGAGTATATTTTAATGAAAGATCAAAGCGAAACAAAGAGTTACATGTTTATGTGAAAAACTAAAGATTTCATCGCTGAACGAATTAGTATCGTGTCAAGCTTTATGACGTGTATACTCGTCAAACACAGTTAACAGGTTAACAATTGAAGAGGAGAATTTAGAAATGGGTCAATTTGACTCGTTCTGTAGTTCCAGTGTTAACGATATCTTGTAAATCATATATTATTAACAGCAGAACCATCGTACACGTTGAAACGAAGGTTTTCAATTCTCTTATTTCGCAATTGTTAATCTAGGATTCACTGGTATCTTCGATTCCACACCTGTTTTATTATTCGTTCGCCGAGTAGACCTTTTAATTCAAATTCTCCCCATAAATCAGCGAAGTCTTGCTGGGGACGCGTAATCAATCTTTCAGACGGATGGGAAAGTACACTGTCGCGACGTAACCGCGGGGCATTTGAGTTTTAGAGGAATGTTGAGCACGGACACGTCGAAGGGGACAAGTTCGAGAAGAGAATGCTTACGCGGAGAGGGAAATTCTGCAATCGAATGTTTCGGAAATGTCATTTTCCGAGTGCGACCGTGTTAAGTTGGTCGTCGCGTTGATTTTCGTCTAGGATTCTGAGCGCTTTATATTGAATATGTTATAATTATATTATAATGATGTTGATAGGAATAGTAACATTGTTTTATAGCAAAGATATACGATATTAGACAGAATTATTAATTATTTAGATCTATTACTCTTGAGAACTTTCTTTTTGTTCTCATTCTTTTATTTTCTTCGTGATTATACGAAGAATCCTCGCTGCCAGATTATTATTTATCGCTTGAAACGTCTTTCACGCCTCATAAGAATTTCAGTTTCAAAGGTTACTACACTCCCGCGAAAAATGCGGGATCGGCAATGTGTTAAAATTGTAGGGCGATCGTTTCATTCAACGAATAGGATTTCCTCGGCGTCTCGAATTACGCCTGCTCGCCGTTCCTCCCTCGATTGTTGATCGGGAGACGATGAAATGGGGTCGATTCGTCCTCAGGGACAATTACCGGACGACGACCGGGCAATTACACGGAACCACTGCCTATTATCGCGTTTTACAGTAATCTCCCGTGACGTTATCCGTCCGCTCCGCGACGCAAGGATAACTGGACGGAACGGCCTGAACGGTTCTTTCCTTTTTCCGTTTCAGGAAAGACTGTCCGGGAACCAGCGAGGACAATGTCGAGTCTCGTGGAGTACTACAAGGACCTCGTGTACAACAGGAAAGGTAACGGACTAATTGAGCTTCCAGAATTTGGTAACAGTGAACAATCTGCGGTGTTGAATCAGGTCGAATTTCAAATAATTCCAACTACGATTTCTTATGTATCGCAGATAATTGCCAGTTGAACTTAAATGGATTCTAGAATAATAATAATTACAGTACAATAGAGTAAAGTGTTAGTCACTGTTATACAAATTGTAATATATTTTCAACAACTACGATTTCTTACGGATTACAGATAGTTGTTCTGTCAGTTGAACTTGAATAGATTCTAAAATAACAACAAATACAATATAACAATCTAAACTATTAATCACTGTTTTGAATATCACAATATAAAATGATTCACAGAGAGAACGCATTAAATTACAATCGTTTATTCCATTATCTCTTTTCAAATTATCGTTGACATCATTCATTACAGTTACATTTACAATACAGCATAGTCAATTGATTCGTCCACCACAATAAACAGCAACACTCATCGGTCAAGCATTCTTAAAAGGCTGTTAGGTAATCCGAAAACTCGTGTTCTTCATTTAGATCCGAGGACCGCCGACATGTTCCTGATGTCGAGTCCGGGTCCGCTGATAATGATCATCGTCACCTACATTTACTTCAGCACGAACATCGGCCCGAGGTACATGAGGGACAAGAAGCCGTACGAGCTGAGGAACGTCATGATACTGTACAACTTCTCGCAGGTGTTGCTCAGCATGTATCTGTTCTACGAGGGGATGGTCAGCGGCTGGCTCCACGATTACAGTTTCACTTGTCAGCCGGTCGATTACTCCAATAATCCGACAGCTCTCAGGGTATGTTCGGTGCAATTCATTCGTACGAGTTCCCAGCGTTTTAATTGCCATTCATTTATTACTAGACCCGTCAAAATCCACGCTGTACACAGAAGCCGCTGAATTATTCAACAGGTCGAATCCCCGTCTAAATTAGTCACGCGGTGAAAGCAATTTTCTTAATGAAACGGAAACTGGAAAATCAAGATTTCCCGGCGCGGTTGCTCTATCAACCTATTTGCATATCGTAGAGTTAAGAAACTTCGGTCCGTTCGACGCGTGACTCAGGAAATTTATTCTCAAGACTATACAAAAAACAATTTCACTTCTGCAGTAGTTTTGAGGTTTGTATCAGAGCGGAAACAGTGAAATTGCTGTAGGAAAATAAAGAGTACGTTTATCGAGATATGGTTTAACCCTTTGCACTCGAGCGGCGCCTTTCAATTTGAGAAGCCATTTGATTCGAATCAAATAATCAAATTTTATATAATGTATCGACACATGGAACACCGAAATAAACTAGTTCTGTCAATTTATACTGGGTGTTTCTCTATGTCAGTTGTAAAACATATTGATATTCAATCAGAAGATAATGAATATTTGTTGAGAAAAATATTCTCGAGTGCAAAGGGTCGAAATACAAGATCTATTCTACGCGATGGTTCGGCTGCGACCGAGTGCAGCCGATGGGACACTTAGTTTATGGCCCACGGACGGACTGGTTTCAAATTAACCGTGAATTAGACGTTCAAGGTGTCGCGGTTACGAAAATCCACCGGGCCGTTTCGTATCGCGTCAAAGGCCAATTACGAAACAGGGTGTGTACCGCGCGGGCCACACGAAGGTGGAAATTATCTATCAAACCTTTCATAGTGATCGCCACGAAATAACGTGGGAAAGATATATCGATTCAAGGACTGTAACTTTCAGAGGATATTCGTTTTAAAAACGTTCAAGAATGCCGCTTTTTTCCCCTTCACTTCGGCTTCAAATCCAGCGTCTTGAGAGTACATAACTCATAATTAGAGAGCGAATGTTTACTTGTTTTCAGCGTTCTGATCTGAAACGATGCACATTTTTAACAACACTGTTTTTTTGCCTGCTACCGATTACTGTCTGTCGGTCCATAAAATTCTTTGTGTTCGCACGGCTATCGGTAGTCGGATATAAGAGTAACGCGCTATGATTTAGCAGCGGTGCCACCCGCGCCGAGTTTTCCCGCGAAACCGCGATCTTAACGCATTGAACGCCGGCCAAATTTCAGCTACTAAAAACGCGAGCGTCGGTGATTATATCGATACGGTGACGAGAAATCTCGTTTTCCTGTAAAGACACTTAGCTATGCAACTTCGCTAATTACCGCGGCATTGAAGAAAATATAAAATTTAACTCGAATTGATTATCTATTTAAAATATATTACATAACAATATATCTGAGTTTTTCTATGTATAGTGATATAAGTTGACCTCGGTGAAAATTGCAAAATTTCTAACTTACGGAAGAGAACAGGGAATTCGATCTTGTAAATTTTACTTTGGATTTGTGCTATACATATATAAAATGTTACATGAACGTAGGATTAGAGATTAAACGATAGACTAAAAATCCGGCGCTCAATGAATTCATCGAGCAGGAAGAGAGCGAATTGTCCTCCGCAAACAATGCCTCACGGCGTGACTAATATTCCTCGGCAGCTTCTTTGCATAAACATGCATCTCGCTGGTACTGAATAATCAGTTGTCATACGCGTCGAATCGAATTTACCATAATCGCGATGAATGTTCTTAATTAACGAACACTGAATGACTCTACAAGTCGATGACGTTGAAAGATGTACATTCCATGGAAATGATGGTACAAACTGAATACGATTGAAACGAGAGTGTCACAACACGATTAAAAAAGAACAAAGTTTCTAATGTGCACCTAATAAAAAGTGGATCGACTAAGTGCGAGTTATAACTCTTTTTCTTTGACGTAGCTCGCGTGCGCTATTACAGAATCGCTGTGATAGTCATAGAGGTTTTCCATTTGTACAGTAACTTCGAGCCATTTTCAATCTTCGTCTCTCGAATCACTGTAAAATCAATAATTCTCATAATTAATACATTGAAAAATTAAAGGTCAATTGCTATATGCTTCGCAGACGTAGACAGAATACACTCACAGTTTCTTTTAGTAAATGATCAACAGATTTACTACGAAGAAACATGTTTGTCTATATAGACAGTTGCTTCAATAACAGAGAATCTAACCTGTATTAGCGTCGAGAACTTGAACTGTCAACGAATAATGTTCGATAATTTTGGGTTCCCCTAATTAGGCGTCAAAAGACGAATCCTCCGTTGATCGGTTTGTTCGCAACTTGCAGATGACGCGTGCCGTGCACCTGTACTTCATGAGCAAGCTGGTGGAGCTGTTGGACACGGTGTTCTTCGTGCTGCGCAAGAAGAACCGGCAGATCAGCGGCCTGCACGTGTTCCACCACTCTCTGATGCCCGTGGCGGCGTGGATCGGCTGCAAATGGCTGCCGAACGGGCACGGCACCCTGCTCGGCCTGATCAACACGTTCATCCACGTGATCATGTACACCTACTACATGCTGTCCTCGATCGGGCCGCACATGAACAAATACCTCTGGTGGAAAAAGTACTTGACGATGTTGCAGCTGATCCAGTTCACGATCATCTTCTTCCATTCGGCGCAGATCTTCTTCAACGGCTGCAACTACCCGAAGGTCGTCACGTTCCTGCTCTGCCTGAACTCGCTGATCTTCATCTACCTGTTCGGCGCGTTCTACGTGAACAGTTACATCAAATCGCAGGCGGCCAACAAGAAGCAGAGGACGGCGATCGGCAACGGCAACGTAACGGACAACAAATCGGATTGAGCTCGGCCACCACCATTGAGAACGCATTCGCGCGATGTTCACTACCGTTCGGGGTCGTCGCCTTCGCAAACCGGTGATCGTTCGTTGCCGTAGGTCTTCTCTTAGCGCAGGGAATGGACGCCGCGAACGCGATTTCACGAGATGGGAAAGAACGATCTTTATCAGTGACCATCGCGGGTCGCTGTGATACGCGCGCTGTACATAGAGTTTATACGGGTCCGAATGGAAGATTGGAACGATGCTAAAATTCGTCAAACAACCGAACGCGAACGGATATTTCTTTACAAACGACGCGATTGACAGATGCATTTCCGTGTCGGGGGAAAATAGGGGACTGCAGTTCCGCGAGTCACCCCCCGCTCGTCATGCTGTAGCTTAAGAGTATGTATCCTGTAACATCGACGTCACGGCACGATGAAGATCGCTCCTTCTTTACCGAATCATTCATCGTTTCATCAATGGAAGCTCACGCAGGGAATTTACGTTTCTTCGTTCGATTGCCTCGCAAAACAAACGGACGTCATCTTTTTATACCGTGGTTACGCATTGTTAGAATATTTTTAAGGGACACTTCTCATCGATCCGCGCGGGGGCTCGAGATCATTCGATCTGGGTTGGTTAGGTCTTGGTTCTCACTTGGTTAGGTCATCGAGCGGGTAATTTTTAATTGAACCTCCGAATCCCAAACTATTCCTTACGTGTCATTCAATATTCCTCAGACGTCTCCTCGAATTCTCGAATCGAGTTCGGTGGGTAACGATTCGCGTCGATAACGAGGGGAACGATCGCGGTGATCGATCGTGGGTCATCCCGGTCTCCGATCCATGGATCGGTCGGTAAAGTAGGGAGTGCGGATACATTCCTCGCTTCCCTTTCCTTCGTGAAGTTTCGCCGCATCGAATTCGATCGTCATCAGGCGCTGTTTCAGTCTCGGCAACGACCGTCCGTGAGAAATTTACTAACAATCACGCTTGCATCGTTCGTCATCTGTAAGTGTTCCACACTGTGCTAATATATGGACGTTAATATGTTTGGAAATAAAGGAATGTTTTTGAAAGAATTCTTTTACTTCGCCGATGCTCGCACGCTCGACCTTTATGCAAGCGGATCGGTATGCGCACGATCGACGGTTATACAAGTATTACAGCCGTTCCACGCTGATTCATGGAAATGATGTAATGGCGAACTCGGCTGCGGTTCAATGTAGACCAGAGGCGTCCGACTTACTGCCCTCGCGACGATTACTCGAAAACAGCGTCACCCCGTTGCCTCTGCTCGATCGGCTGCACGAGACTGTGCGCGCGAACGGTGTTCAATTGGAACAGGTAAAAGTAGGTGCGGAGAGGGTGACTGTTCGCGAGGGGAGCGTTGCTGGAAGACACCGATTTAGACACCCTTGATATCGCAGTCAATGCGCTCGGCACCACATGTAAACAAGCTGTTATTCTAATCAGTTCTTTCATTGTAATTTGTAATTCCCATTGTTCCGCTCGCCGTTACGTATATTTATGTCACATGCTTCTATTGAAAAGTATAAATGGTCGTTATGCAACGGAGGAAACTTTCTCTAAGTTCATAGGTAGGCGGTCAAGCTTAGTTTCGATCGAAAGAGGGTTGCGCAGATGTTTCGTGGTCTAATATTCAAAATAGTAACTATTTTTAACGTGATCGAAGTATCGTATTGACTTAAAATTAAGAGGTCAGTATAATCTAAAGGATCAAACTGTTATTGATTTATTCAAAACGAATGATTGCTCGAGCTTCCCTGAAATTCTGAAATTTAGACAATTCTACCTGGTTAACTGTATTCGCTGGAGAAGTTGAATTTTGGAAATGTAATTCCTGGTGAAGAATCAGTTAGCGAATGTTCCACTTAAATGACGAGATGTTTCTTTCTTTTCCTTGGCGTCGAATCTTCCTTCCAAAAAAATTACTCGACGAGCATAGGCGCGAAGCGAGCTGTGCCTTGATTTACCATTGTAGATGGATCATCGAATATTCACCGATTGACGTTCCATCGTCGATAAGGTCGCGACCATGGGACCTAGTAGACCCCTCATCCGCTTCATGCTAAAGCCGCTCGTCGATTTTGATAACACCGTCCACGGAAATTATTCGCGGTGCATGACGCGCATGTTAGCGGCGGTATCAATTGAACGCCGCGAGACGTCACAATTTCCGGGCATCGTGGAACGATACATGGAGATGCAGCCTGAGTTCTACGTTGAGAATGTTGCGGCGATTTATCGCTGATGCTACCGAGTACATAGTTCATGATTAGTCTGCGGTTCGTGCAGATTCAACTTTTCAAGAATGTAATTGGAAAAACAGAATTACAATGGAAAATGCTCATGAAAATCACTTCGATATTTTATATATGTATCCTATGCATTCTGTGCAATTTTGCGCTTCCAAATTTCCCATAAACACACAAAAATCCACGGTCTATCCATGATGGAAATATTCAACATTTTCCGACGAGATATAGACGACGTTGTTTGAAACTGATTTTGACAATAATTCACAGATAAAGTAAGCAATAAAGTTTCACATAGTAATACAAAGTTTAATTTAAAATACTAGATATTCAACTTCATAGTTTTGCTGTATCAAATCAAGTGGTGACTGAGAGTCACTTCTCGAGTGCAAAGGGTTAATATAACCTGTAAGATATAGTCGAGATTTTTACTCAAACGAGTTCACTGAAACGAGGAAGAATATCATTGAGACAATAAAACCTTTCAATATCTTTTTCAGTAAATATTGAACTTGAAAAGGAATAGTGAATTATTTATTCATATTCATCATAGAAACTGCGACTAATTTTCTTTTGCGACGATTGTGGATGGTAAGTATATTCTAGTTTCTAGAATCGATGATTTCCATAGAGATAGACTAGAATATGCGAACGGTTTAATGCGTTACAACAAACGCGAGCCTCGCTGAAAGTAGGTGATCATGTGAAAGTTTCATGAATTCAAATTAACACGTGTTTATACCGACCGAGAAGTTATTCGCTACAGTTTCTTCCATTGACGCTCAACCAAGAAGCAAAGTAGATCGATGCACATGCTTAGAACATTTAGGATACCTAATTAGTCTCACGAAACTATTACACCAGACTTTTATCAATCTCTCGTGTCTCCAATTAACAAATGAATCGGATTACCCGTCGAATTTGCATCGGTATTACGATACTTATGAATTCATCACATTGACGAGACTGTATTCACCGATAACGTTGATTACTTAACGCGGAAAGAGGAACAGTAATAATGTTGTAGTTTAATACATCGTATTAATCGGTGGGATCGTAAAAAGGTGTTTACCTAAGTGATACAATTAATTGCTTGCGGTAAAAAGCTGAATGTTACAGTTAATTGCTTGCGGTAAAAAGCTGAATGTTACAATTAATTGCTTGCGGTAAAAAGTTGTATCATTCGCGTGATGCGTTCTGTCGATAAGGTTGTTCAGTGGCTTCTTTACGTAATACGAGATTTAACTAGAATTTATCCGCGTCGTCTAGAACGAGGCGAAAGGGACTGATCGTCTCGAAAACGAATCGAAGTTCCGACTCGTCCTCCGGAAGCTACGTGTCGCGCGCACACATCCGACGACGTATTCGAACGATGTAGCCAGGACACGGATTGGGCTGAGGTAATTTTCATGTCACGGTGACACGTGGAATCGGTCGATGACTACGATTAAAATTATCTCGCGTCACCCTCGAAACTTTTGCAATGGGAAACAACAACTGGTTCCTAGGACATTGAAACGGCAGCGGGATCATTTGAATTTGCCCTATCATCGTTCGACTTCATTGTAGTCAACGTATGATAATGATTAACCCCCCGCGCTCGGAATACCGTCCGCGGCGCGTACTGCGTATTCGGCAATTATCCGGGGATAAGTGTGGATAAGTATGCGTATGAAAATTCATTCAAAAATTTATTGTTTCTCAGGCGTAACAAACGAACGGTCTTAAATTTGTTTTTTCCTTGTTTTCTGTTTGAACTTGATCTTCGAGAGCAAGGGGTTAACATTTCATAACCACGATTGTTGCAAGCAAGCAAGAATCGATCGTCCCGCAACGTCTTATCGATTTCCACATTTTTATGCTCGAAACTCGAACTCAGCGTCCAGGCCTCAAAATGACAAGTGTGTTTCACCGTGAAATTTAGTTAATTATCGATCGTGCTTATGGCATTAACCTAACCAAATCAGATCCTTAACACATAGGTTCACGACATAAACTGAAAAGAATAGAAAAATATAAAGTCAACCTGAAACGATGCAGCGAAACCTATCAGTCTAACAAAACGTATCGCGACGTTTAAAGACGTCTATAACTTCCATTGTTTTCGAAAGGTAGCGCCGAAAGTGAGTATTCATCGTATCGAGGAGTGATCAAGCTCTGCTAAGGTCATCTGAGGGCGTACACCGTTGCCAGAAGAGAGTCAAAGTTATTGCGCTAGTCCAGCCGCGAGCACCTCAGCACGCTTCCCTCCGACGTTCTCATAATTAAAACATATTGTCACCCGTGTCGGCGGCGCTACGTTTCAGCAGAGTGAACAAATTCAATCAGTCCGCCTTGTATTCCGACGGTGTTTAGTTCGATCGTTCCCTGGGAACCACGAATAGACTCAAACAGGCTAAACGCTCGTTTGATGTCTTGCCGCCTCGTTTTCGTCGCTTCGCTTCTTTTTCCCTCGATGTCCTCCTGCAGTGCAGTATCGCCGATGACAAGGGACGCACGCTCGATGCTCTAAGTACAAGGAAACATCGACTTTCCGGAGATAGGTGTACCGATCGACGAACGACGCTGGTTCCCTTTGGAAAATTCTGATCACGATTCGAGGATTTACAAGTGGTACGAGGTAGTTAGAGGGAATCAGGGACACTTGAGATTCAGGCACTACCATGGCGACGTTATTACATCGAATCTACCAGGGGTACCTCTACATTAACGACGAACTGTCAGGTACGGCCACCATAAACTCGAGGTAACGAATGATCGCTGACAGCAATGGAATCCCTTGCTTTACTAGTTAAAATGACTCGCTTCGATTCGTTTGTTTCGCAGTTATTAACCCTTTGCACTCCAAAAGTTTGTCACTAGAAATATTCAATTTATTTTTAGGAGGTGTAGATGACATTTTTTTTAAACTTAACGAGAAATCTATTCGAAATAAGGGGAACAGTGGCACTTCATTTCCACATTTCACGTATCAACAGATTACTCAAGACTTAATGTTAAATATGAAACTTTCGAGTGCAAAGGATTAAATTGGTAAACACGCGAAGGAACGATTCTAATAATGTTTCTTCCCGAAGATCCCAGAACAGGGAACTACTTGTTCATGAGTTCGCCATGGACCACGCTCGCAATAGTAGGCTTCTATTTGTACTTCGTGCGCGATCTTGGCCCCACCATCATGATGAAGAGGGAGCCCTTCAAACTGGAGAAAGTGATGCAGCTGTACAACGTCACGCAAATAATAATATGCGCGTATATATTTTATAAGGTACGCATGAAAGATCTCTAATCCTTTGCTTGCCAAACTTTTGCTGAAGTTTCCTCTCGGCGTTCGCGACAAAGTATAGTGTCGTTTTCTTTATTAGCGCCGTGATTACGGAGAATCCTGATCGATTCAGTAGGATAATAGGAAAACTATAACTGTAAATGATTATAATAGACTTAATAGTATAAATAGTTACAATAGTGTCAATACTATGAATAGTGATAGTAGACTCAATACTATGAATAGTTACAATAGATTTAATACTATGAATAGTGATAATAGACTTAATACTGTAAATAGTTATAATAGACTCAATACTATGAATAGTTACAATAGACTTAATACTATGAATAGTGATAATAGACTCAATACTATGAATAATTACAATAGACTTAATACTATGAATAGTGATAATAGACTCAATACTATGAATAGTTCCAGTAGACTTAATACTATGAATGGTCATTATAGACTCAATACTATAAATAGTTACAATAGACTCAATAGTATGAATAGTGATAATAGATTTAATACTATAAATAGTTATAATATCAATACTATAAATATTGATAACAGACTTACAAGAATAACTGTAAGAAAATCATTGAATCTACATTTACTCCAAAAGTATATCATACAGTATTACCAAGTTGACGTTTCAACTCATAGGCAATGGTTCTGGCTTGGCTGGATGGTCACAACATCATTTGCGAGCCGGTCAACTACTCGACCGACCCGAAATCGTTAGAGGTGAGTAAGTTCAACTCTCCGTTAAATACACGAGATAGGCGATCGCTAACGAGATCGTTCGAACCGCAGAAAACCAGGGTAGTGTGGTTGTTCTTCATCGTAAAGCTGCTGGATCTGTTGGACACGGTTTTCTTCGTTCTCCGGAAGAAAGGGAACCAGATCTCGTTCCTTCACATCTACCATCACGCGGGGATGGCGTTCGGCACGTGGGCGACGACGAAATTTTTGCCCGGCGGCCATCTCATCTTCTTGGGTAAGCTGAGATTAGATTGCCGGAATACGTTTTTCATCCCGTCCAGAAAAATTCCAGGCTATTCCCTTTGATCGCAATGTTACCGCGGCACGGATTTCTGTGAAAGTTCTCGTTCCCGTCAAGGAACCTAAAAGAACGATGATTTATAGAACATCGATAGAAATATTGACTTTATTTCTATCGTTTGATGGCGTTATAAGATCTCTTCGCTGCGCGAAGATCGGAAGTTATTAACCATTAACCCTATTAACTGCAACTAATTTTTATAGCACCCCTAGCGAAAATGAAAAATGCTACATTTCTTAGATCTTTTATTTTCGTTACAAAAATTAACGTGTACCACATGTACACGCGGCACTGAACGTGTTAAGAGATAATTAGAAATTCAAATGAACTTGACATTTGATTACAAAGGAAATCGACTAAGGCGAGTGAAACGGAGAGCTCGTTGAACGTTGCTTTATTAACACTGGAACTACGTACCAGTGAAAGTGACTTTATTTCGTAATTATTGATATCTTAAACCACCGAATGCTCGAAATGATCTTGAAAGTAAACAGTTTCACTTGAATACTCCAATGAACGTCCGAAGGAATCGATAACAATGAATTATTACAATTTTAATAGGGATCACATATCAATCGTATTAAATGCTCGGTAGTTCTAGTATTAAAGCTACTAGTTTACTAGGAGTCATTGATACCAGAGTTACTGGAACTTACCAACACTCGGAAGAGTCTAACACAAAGAATTGCCACTTGGGCGATACCGTTTATCATTCCCTATTTATTACCATACTATTTTCTACTCCTTATAAATAACCGTAAGCAGTTCCACAGTATTCTCACACGTCCTTGTGTGTCAACGTGTCCATCATGCATAATGGATGGAAATACACAAAACAAAAGAACCGAGGCGACGTTATTGTGCTTCCGGTCAAGCTGCCAGCCGTTCGAATTCCCGTGCCCAGCTTGATTTGCTTGGCGTTCCGTTCAGGCCCAGACGCGGCCGTCACCGCTGACGGACGAGCCGAAATATCGGCTCGAGGACCGGAGTTTTCTCAATGTTATAATAATAATTCCCGAATATTAGGTTCAAAGACGGCAAAGAATTTAACTCCAGCAGTCACCAGCAGTTTTAACTCTCTAGCCCGTCCGTTAGCGTGTGTTATTAAGGCCAAAGCGTTTCTCGCTTTTTACCTGCCACGGTCGACGATTGCAAACGGGTCGAATTAGTTATTAACATTAGCAACTCGGAAGACCCAAGAAGGGAGGGGACTGTGTCTCCCTTCCGCAACCATCTAGATCTAAAAGGGCCAACCGGAACGTCTTCACCCCCGCGAAGACGACATTGCGGAGGTGTCGTCGAGGACGATTCTGGGAGGCCCAGTCGGTGGGATACGCATAGTTAGAAACACAAGTTAGAAACAAGTTAGACAAGTATCAACTCAAATAGTACATAGCACGGAGTACGGAGTAGGAAGCAAGGTTTACAAAGTATCGAGTAGCAATTTCGATCGAGCGCATAGCGCTAGAGTCAAAGTCCACTTCACCTCCTACTCATTTCTAAGTTTCGTTCCCGATCTTATCGGGTGGTCCTTCGAGACATGCAAGTTTATTAGCACACCACGTGCAAACGCCTACAAAGCTCGACCATTACGGTAACCACGAGTACCTAACAAACTGGATTAACTTCTTTTAAATATTATATTCTTTCTTTTTAAGCGTTGACTGAACAAAAACCGATGTCGCCTAAGCAAAACATTTAGTCTCACATCGGCGACACGCGCGGTCGTGTGACATGAACCTAAAGCCCGCGGCCGGTCCCTGCCTGAACGGAAAGTCTGACGTGTTAAAGTTACCAATCCTCGAAAAAATCTAATTCACATGTATTTCGAACGTATCGTACAACAATAACGTGCTTCCGCTTCAGGCACAGTGAACTCGTTCGTCCACGTGGTGATGTACAGCCATTACCTGGCGACTTCGCTGCGGATAGGCAGAACCTGGTGGAAGAAGTACATCACTCAGCTGCAGATGATCCAGTTCGCGATGCTGCTCATTCATTACGTGGTGCTGGTGTTCGTGGAGGACTGCGGCTTCCCGAAGTGGACGGCGGCGGTGCTCATTCCGCAGAACGTCTTCATGATGGTGCTGTTCGGTGACTTTTACTATAAAACGTACATCAAGAAGAAGACGCCGAAGGTCAGTCAGAACGGCGTCGGCTCGGAAGCGGCGAACGGCAAACCCAAGAGCCAATAGGCCGTTCACCGGAAGCATGGCCGTGCCTCCGGAGCACGTTGCACGTTTCGACGCGCGAATCCGCCCCGAAGCCGGGGCGCGAACCGAAGGTACGCCGCAGAGATGACAAGGCTAGCTAGGTTCTACGTGGCACATCTGCGTTTATCTTTCACATTTTTCGATATTTATTCTCAGCATCAGCGGCTTGGATTCTCGGCTGTTGTGTAAATTTGTAGATTTGTGAATTTTAACGTACTGTGTACTGGTTAATTTTGAGAAAACTGAATTGTGCAATTTTCAGTGAGGTCAACTTGTATTATGCATAGAGAAACTCGGATGTGTTGTTATGTAATATATTTTAACACGGTGAATGCCATCGAATTACTACAATTCGCTTAATGAAACGATGATTGTCTGAAAACATTCCTATATCGCAAATAATGCTATCTAATCGAACGTGCAATGATAACAATGCAATTCAATCAGATGATTTAATGCTATACTTTTTCCATTTCGAGTGTTTTGTACTATGAAATCGTGTGGCGTTCAACGTGTTAAATAAATAATTGATTCGAATGAAATTTTATATTTCAATGCTGTGGTAATTAGCGAAGTTATAGCTAAGTGTCTTTATATGAAAATGAGAGTTTTCTCGTTACCGGTACGCAACGTGTTAAAATGATCATCGGGATTCTCCGAGATCTCACATTTTGCGGTTTCATTGTTGCTATCACGGTCTACCGAGAATCTATGTATATAGAGGGTACGTCTTGTTACAATCTGCTGTTTCTAATCTTCCCTCCACTTCTCTCCGATGTGAATGTTCAGATTTTACAGATTTACGAATTTTCATATTTGCGAACGACAGCTGTTGAGGACGCCGATGATTTGGTATTACAGTACTCGTATTACGCTGTTACCTACCAGATAATGTAACTAAAGATTCTTGTTTGATATCAATCTTCTTATTGTAATCGTTCTTAACCAATTAACTGTGTTTGACGAGTATACACGTCATAAAGCTTGACATCGTACTCTTTCAGCGATGAATACTTTACTTTTTCACATAAACATATAATTCTTCTTTGTTCCGCTTTGATCTCTCATTAAAATATACTCTAGAAGAAGTACACGCTCAACTTTTTTATTTTACTGCGCAGAACCAGAGGTTTTTCCAACTAAATTCCACAGTTAATTGGTTAAGTAATTTCGACCATCGTGGCAGTCAACGTATTAAACAGAAGATTGCAAGAATTTCTAAGCAAAATTTAGCGATCGCAACAAACGCTGTATTTACGGGAATTTCAATCCGATATTGAACTGTTTAAGTATTATTTCGCGACAGTGTACCTCGATTTTCATCGAATCTGCGAATACACATAATTCTTGAAACACTGACTCCCACAATCTGTATAAACAAACGTATACTCTTCTAGGGAACGATAGAATAAAATATAGACTAAACCTGCGTTAAGCTAAACGCAGTTAAATTAAACTAGTGTTAAGCGAAAATCGGATCTCCGAGTTACAAGAAATTTCAAACTAAGTACACAATACCGAAAAGATGCGTGAAAGGAAATATAGATTACCATTATTAGACTTACTCTCCGCCTAGCCAGCTTGCCATCTCCGAGATACAATCGTACTGGGAAGTTTCGATCAGCCAGCCGGTCAGCAACCTATTCAGATCTGACTCTAGACAGTTGACGCTTTGCGAAAACGCTTCGGGAAGCACAGTGTGCGTGTGCGCGTGTGTGTCTGCGTATGTACATGTCAGTGTGCCTGTTTGTCGTTGAGTGAATATGCAACGTTAGTTCTGTTTCGAATTAACGCGTTCACGTACAGTACAAAGTTGGATTGCAACAATGGGAAAAATGCAAATTCGGTTCTCCGAGAGTTAAAGCGCGTGACAGTTTCAATAAATTAACCCTCTGCATTTGAATAAATTTCAACTTCAATAAATTAACCCTTAACGTTAGATCTTGAGTAATCTGTCGACGCGTGAAATGTGGAAATAAAATACCATTGTTCCCCTTATTTTGAATAGATTCCTCGTTAAGTTGAAAAAAGTGTCATCTATATCTCATAAAAATAAATTGAACATTTCTAGTGACAAATTCTTTGAGTGCAAAGGGTTAAGGCTATGTCGAATTAAATGCGTGACAATGTGGCTTACAAATTCGAACGTTATAGCATCCAAGCGATTCGGCATCGCATCGAGGATGAACAATATTTATACTTATCTTACACTGAATTGTTTTCACTTGACGCACGAAAGCTGTTAGATCTGACGCGATTAAATTAGAGAATAAGATGAGGTTGACTTCCCTTGAACCTTAGTCCTCGCAATATTCCAGCACTCGAATTTTCGATGATTTATTCCAAGCTATCCGACGTCGGTGCATTGTTCACAGGAATGATCGTTGTCTCGAGAGGTTGAATTTCTCGAAGTTCTCGAACTCGTTTCACGTCGATTCGAAGGACCAGTAAACAAAGCAGTCGCCGAGTGAAAAATCTGGAACATTTGGATCGAACGAATACCCTTATCACATTCGCTGTGTCAATCACAAAATTTAAATGAATTTCTTGCCGGTTGTTTATCATTACATATCCATATAGCATTTATAAATATTCAACTATCCCCTAGCGAGTAAACACTATAATAGTTGCATCGCGTGTTGGTTTCGCTCTTTAGAACGAAGAAAATTGATTGGAAGATGACTCGGCGAGCATGCAACAGTATTCCCGGCGCGATAAGCGTTAACTCGCGCCATAAGCTCGGACGTCGCGCGGAACCGCCGCGGAACTGGGTCAAAGTGGGCCCAGGAACCGGCGTTCTTTCGAGCCGCGAATCGATCGGCGTTAACCGAAACGTTGACCAATCGGAATTTTCCGATTCGGCCGAAGACGCGGCGTTCGAGCGCGCACGAAACTGACTATTCGTTACGATTTACCGGATCGACCGACCGCCTTGACCTGTTTTTAATGAAACACGGAGATTGATATACCGGCAGGCGTAGGCCAGGTTAAGAGCTGTTCGGAAAAAAGGTGGCCTACTTTTCTGACATTTTAACGGCCGGTCCAAGCGAAAGGCGACCCACGTAGACAGGAAGGAAGACACAAAACACGGGAGAACGGTTTAGCGGCAGGTGCCGTTATGATTCCTTCGGAACCACGAAGAATTTCGGTTTCACCTCTGGACCCCGATCCGATTATCATCCGCGCTAGTTCCGTGACCGATAATCGTTGTTAGACGTCCACGCGCGCGAATGGAGGTCGACGTTTTTGCCTCTCATTGTTCGGCCGCGTATCATTAACACGTTGACCGCGAAAGCTTTAGTCGCCGCGTGTACTCATCGGTTCTCTTGTTTCGCGATTGCTGACCGTTTGAAATCGGAAATCGGCTTACAGGTAGATCGATACGATCGAGCATTGTAACGTGTGTCCGAAGATACCGTCTATCGTTGCATTTTTATGAAGATTGTATAATAATTGCATCGAATGATCGATAGTTTCAGTGTTAAGTAGAAATATGCTTGTAATTCTGCTGTAATTACATTGCGTGGAACATGATATTGAATATGGAATTGACTGTTCGTGATCGCTTCCCTAACACTTAGCCAACCGAATAGGGAGATCTCCCACTTTTCACTTATCAACGTATTGCCTTTCATTCTGTTTATCTTTTCTTTTGTATTATTAAGTCTTGAAGTAGGGTTATTCGCAATTCATCGAATACGGTTCTCGTTTTAACGAAACGCTTAACTGAATGAGTTCAATCAAGTATAATCGAGGAGGTTGTAGTTATTGTTCATTTTAGGCGGTCGCCTAAGTGTCAAGATCACTGCGACTGACAGAGCCACCGAAATTTCATTTCTTTATCATTAAACTAACGTTTAAAATTCGATTCGCTCGACGCGTCGAGAAAATCGATGTAAATCGAGGAAATCGGTTTCTAAATGGACACGGACGTTTGAGGTTCGATTCGATCGATGTGCAATCGATAAATAATCGGACCGTACGTCAACTAATGTTTCAATGTCGCAACAGTTTCAATTGCACCGCCTAGTTTCACAGATGACAGCTTAATCGTATCTCTGTCGTATGCATAATGTTCTCACGGTAATGCGATTCGATAGCAAGTTTCGAGCAAGCAAACGCAAGGCTAAATAATTAAAAAACGACCGCCGCTGCGACTGCAACGTGATATTTTTTTTCCCTCGCTTCTTCTAATAAACTACATTCTGCGTGGAAAATCTCGACGCAAAAAACCGCTGTTACAGAGTCTGGTTGTTACAGAATCGTGCGATGCATATGCATTAACGTCTAAAAAGCTCTGTGTCGTAAATCATAGGCTATTTAGACGTCGGGCACTCATTACGCGCGACTGTTTCGTTAGAAAGTGATGAGACTAGGCCGAGAGTTCCGTTAGGGGTGTATCTCGACGGCCCACGGGACACAGTTAGGAACCTTGACTCGGATAAGTCGTTCGAGAACGAACATTTCGGGGAATCTGCGTACAGTGTTTCGAACCGAGAATTAATAAATTCAACGAGTCATCTATGCAATTCATAGCTCAAGCAATTTATTTTTTAGCACTTCTTGCGTCTCCGTTGTTGCAGCTCCCACAAATGAATTCAGGAAAAACTGCTTTTAATAAATACCCGACACATAATTATTTCCAGTCGAGTAAGAACTTTGAACAAGCCAAGTAAAAAGCATCTTATTATCTTATTTTCATACACGATCCGTCAAGAAATGTCTCTGGAAACGTGAGCTCTGCGCTTGTTAAGTCTAACTTGTTGCCGCACGGAGATTAAGAGATCAAACTCTCCAAAAGTGCCAAGCGATGGCGCTTGTCTTATTCTCCGATTGAAAATGCCAACGAACGCTATTGCGCTGTTTTCTCCTCTATAAGCTGTGATTCTTTCAATTCGGTGTTGTTCTGACATCTTTCTGAGCATAAGCACAGATATCAGCGTCTTTAACTAGGTTTACTGCGTCAATTTCACGCAGATTGAATTTTACAAACATTATTTCGTAAATGTTTCAATCGGTTTTCGTCGATCCAATTACCCGAATATGAATCCTGATTGTATTCCTACATCTGCAATTTCCAAAATCTAAACGAACGAATATCAACTTCCCCAGGAACAGTAGAATAAAGTGTACAATAAATGCCCGTAAACCTAGTGTTAACATTAGGTCTTGAGTAATCTGTCGATACGTGAAATGTGGAAATAAAATACCATTGTTCCCCTTATTTTGAATAAATTCCTCGTTAAGTTGGAAAAAATGTTATCTATATCTCATAAAAATAAATTGAATATTTCTAGTGACAAATTTTTCGAGTGCAAAGGGTTGAGGCTATGTAGAATTAAATGCGTGATAATGTAACCTAGTGTTTAATATAAAAATATAATTGAAATTTTCGCGCATCGTCGGAAACCGAGCGTTATCGCAGCCTAGAGCGCTGTCCGAGCGACAAAGAAGCGCAAAATAGCTGGTTGGCACTGAAACGGTTAACAAACGCGTCTAGAAACGTGACCTCTGCACCTGTCAATTCTAACCTCTCGCCCAGAGGAGACAAAATGCTCGAGATACGATTATTCCAACGGAATGCTACCATCGAGCTGCTCGAAGCGTCCCGTTTCGTTACTTCGCGAATCCGTTAGCGATCGCCTCTAAAAACACTGCCACAGATTTTCCGGGCGGTGCTCCTGTTATTGGCCGAACCCCGAAGAAACGTTCTGGCTCGTAACCGAGCGGCCATCAAAACGGCCAAGCCTTCGGTTCGCTTAAAAATGATTGATTTAAGACTCCATGATTTCTAGCCGTAAACGCTGGGCGCACCGAAGAAACGAACACGGCCGTCCTACTTGTAACTTTACTGCCCCGCGTAACTGCGCCTCGCAGCTAGGCGACCGGGAGAAATTAGAATGACAATCCCATGAAATATTCAACGGTGATCCCGTATGCGGCAAACATCAAATAAACGAACTCCCGGCGAGCATCGGGGACGATCGGGAGGGCCCCGCCGAGGAATACGCTCGATCTCCTCGACTTATTGTCCCATCCGGATCAACATTGACTTCTCGCGAGTTGGCGTTCCGCGGAGTTGTCTTCGGCAAACTGTTTGACCGGGCACGTGACTCTCGGCGAACACGCTATTCCACTTTTCGCGATATTAACCGGTGTACACGGCACTCTCGGAATTCAGGGACAAGGACGCGAGTGAATCTCAATGAAAACGTGAGCCGAAGGCATTGAATAAGAGACGGTATATCCATAACGCGGCGAGGTTTGAATATTTCACTAACGATTACGTTGCATGACGGTAATTTGCAGAAATTCGAATATCACCGCCGTTCCGTTTCTTTTCGTGCCGGTCGTAACGACTGGAGATTCGAGAGGACTCGGAGATATTGGAAAACTCGCTACCGATCCGCGTGTTTCTATTATTCGTAACGGTATCTCCGATGTGTAGGTAACTCTGAGATTCGCTGTTAGCTCCTCCTGCTCTCTTTAACGCTGAGTCTCTATGAATTTGCACTCGGCAGACTATCAGTCACCTGATTTGATACAGTAAAGCTATAGAATCTGATATTTAATTTTGAACTTTGTATGGTGCCTTGACACGTGAAATATTCGAATAAAATAGCTTTGTTCCTCAATATACTGGCGATTTCTCTTTGAGTCAATCTCAAAGAATAATCTTTGCCTCGTCGAAAAATGTTAAATATTTCTAGTAAGAAACTTTCGAGTGCAAAGGTTTAATTGTGATTAATTCAGTCACCGCTTGATCTGATACAGCGAAACTATGAAGTTGAATATTTAGTATTTTAAATTAAACATTGTATCGCCATAGGAAGTATTTAAATAAAATAGCTTGTCGCTTAACTCTTTCCACTCGATAGGTGACTCTCAGTCACCACTCGATTCGGTTTGCAAAATTACAAAGTCTTACATATAATATTAAGCTTTGCACGATGCGTCAATATGTGGAATATTGAAATAAAATGACTTTCCTCCTTAATTTATACATTTACACTGAATTGAAAGAATCACAGCTTATAGAGGAGAGAACAGCGCAACAGCGTTCCTTGGCGTTTTCAATCGGAGAATAAGACAAGCGCCATCGCTTGTCACTTTTGGCGAGGGAATAGGACAAGCGAAAAACCGCTCCTTGGCGCTTTTGGAAAACAGCGAAAACACGTGGCATCGAACGGTTAATGAGTCGTCCATGGAACAAGGAAGTTCACCGCTTCGATCTCTTAATCTCCACGAGGAAACTCGATTCTCCCGAGAGCGGATCGTCGCGCGGGACATTCGCGATACCCTCTGCCCTCTCGGAAAAATTAATTCTCGCCTAGCGTGTGCGCTATGAACGTCCACAAAGATCCTACGCGAGCGCGAACGTCGTTTTACCGTACCGGAGAGTTTAACGGGGCAAACAAGCGATGACCGTCTCTTTATTCCGGTCAAATAAAGCCGTCCACGAATTTCGCAAACCGCGAACTGCATCGACGGCAAATATTCGGCGCGTCCCATGGTTTTCCCCTGTTCCCCTTTGAAAATTCTTTCGCCGGCCGGCCGGATCGCGAGCGACGCGAGCTCAGTTGATTATTAACAACGTTATCGGCCGGTCTCGGCGATCCAATTGCGCCTTATCGCGGTCTAGATACCGGCGAAACGACATTCTGGAAATATTTTCACGGACATAATTTGCATGCGAAGCGCCTGGCGACGGTATATAACCGGCTGCCATCAAACGATTCTTCTATTTGATAAGTGTCTCTCGGTTCCTAGGATGAGTCCACCGTAAAAACCGCGAGCTGCCCCCTCCGGATCCACGAAGGTCGCTTTCAGAGGTCAGTTTTCGTTGTAGTATCGTTGGAACGGAAGGGATAAGGCCGAAACTGTCGTGGAGCAGTCGTGAAATTGAGAAGAGAATTTTCGAGTTACCAATGATCAAGATCTTTATTCACCATGGGAAATGTCTGCTCTTATTGGAATAGACCTTACATTCCGTGGGATCATTCTTACACATCGGGAAAGAGACTTTTAGCAGTTTATAGTTTTGACGTCTCGGTATTGGTATATAATGCTTCCATCGCTTAGAAAGATTTTATAGTTAACCCTTTGCACTCGGAAGTTTTTCAAGAAATATTTTAACTTTCTGATGAGATAAAGGCGATATTTGGTGAAACTAACTCGGAAAGAAGTCATACGTACATTGAGGAATAAAGATATTTTATTTCAATATTTTTCAAATTGTTGAGTTATGCGAGGTACAATATTAAATATCATATTTTATAGTTTCACTGTATAAAATCAGGTCCGAAGTGCTCTTGGTTTCTCAGTTTGAGGTTCACGTCGACGTCAGTTCATTCAGTTACAGCTTGATACGACGCTCTATTTATTTATTAAAAATATTTCGGAGTCACTGAAATGTTACCTTCAAATACTACAATTCTGATACTACAAATAAATATAGAAAAAATTGTTAAAATCAGTAGACGTTGCCATAAAATTGAATATCGAGTCTGACTCGACACAGGACTGCTAAGGGTTAAAGATGTCCTAAAACTCACGTCCCATTCTACTAGTTTCAATCGGTTTCAGTTTCATATTTAGTTTCATACTGTACTCCGCAGAGGAAAAAGCGGGAAACTTGACCGTTCGAATATTTGTACTGTACTAGACGCACGATATTCGGGCTGTAAGGACGACAGCCTTGAAACCGTGAAACATTTCGCGTTACTGTTCTGCATCTTCATCCCTTCCTCCGAGCTGCTCCCAGATGAGAGGCGGAAGTCATGATTTAATAACGAGCTAGCGAACCTGCGAGTGGTGGGGCACAACCGTAAAACATCGGGGTTTTGGTCCTCTTCGCCGCTGTTGTCGTCGCCGGTTGATCAGTTTTTGGTTAGCAGCTGCACCTTCACCATCGCCTCTGTCAGGTAACACCTCCCGAAGGATTCGAAGCTGGCCAAGCTGGAACTTGGACGGGAAGATCCTCGTTGAATCGTGGTAAAGTGCACTCGAATATCTTTTCGTTTCTCAGCCTTAGAGACGTTTATACCTTCTTCGTTAATTACGGTGGATTAACTACGATTGTGTTTTATTGTATTAAATCGTGAATGCTTTTGTGGGTGATCGGTGTATTGACGGTAATTCGATTTCCCTTCCGGGGTTCTCTTAAGAGAGATTTTTGAGAGAGATTCTTCAAACTGAATTCTACACTTAACTGGTTAATCACTGCATTGTGGAAATGAGAGTACGATTATTTAGCGTCCTATGGAAGTGAAAAATTCAATTTAACCCTTTGCACTCGAGAATATTTTTCTCAAGAAATATTCATCATTTTCTGACGAAGTATCAATGATATGCTTTACAACTAACATAAAGAAATACCTTGCATAAATTAAGTAACAGAACTATTTTATTTCTAATAAAATATTTTATTTTAAAATTTAATACTGAATTATAAATTTTATCATTTCCATGGGTAAAATCGAATGGCGACTGAAAGGCGCCTCTCGAGTTCAAAGTGTTAAATGTTCCCGTGCGACGTTGTACGTAAGACGAAGTTTGTTCATCGGGTATTCTCACGCAAATGTTCTTTCAAATTTTAGAGTTCGTCCGGGAGAACCTCCGGTAAATCTGCAAAATGGCGGGTCTGATTCACACGTTGGTCAGCAATTACAATGAGATCGAGGAGAGTAGCAAAGGTGAGTCCGACGAATGTCATTATTCGGGATCTATTCATTTGAAGTTTGTCTTTTGCATTCTTCCGTTCAGTGGTTCGAATATCGTTAATGCAATACCCTTGTCTTCTTGTATGCGAGGAGTGACCCCGGTGATCGTTCATGCAGATTTTTTCAATATGAAAGACGCTGAAATATTCCAGCCACTCGAGGAAAAAATTATTTTGAATAACAAAAAAAAATCCTTGCTTATGTAATACTGGATGTTTTGAGTAGTTTTTAAAGCAACGAAGAATAAGAAAGAATTTCCTTTCAGACGCGAGTGTGGCGTCTTGGCCATTGATGGGGTCACCTGGCCCAGTATTGTGTATCGTGGGCGTCTACTTAATGTTCGTACTGAAAGTTGGGCCCAAAATGATGGAGAAGAGACCGGCTTATCAGCTGAACTCGACGTTGATCGCTTACAACGCCTTCCAAGTCCTCTTCAGCTTATGGTTACTACTCAAGGTAACGTGTTGACATTAAACTTCTTCCTCCAATAGTAACAATTCGAGAGTAATTGAACAAATTGCCTAAATTTGAATAGAAATTTCACTCTTGAGATGTTCAATGCGAAGTTTAACACTAGAACTACCGAGCATTTGATACCATTGAAATGTGATCGCTATGAATATTGTAGCAATTGATTATTTTCGGTTTCTTCATTCATTATAGTATTCAAGTGAAACTATTTATTTTCAAAATCATTCCGAATATTCGATGCTTCGAGGATATCAATAATTACGAAACAAACAAATCGAAACCAGTCATTTTGACTGGTGCGGTAGTTCTAGTGTTAACCCTTTGAACTCTAGGCTCCAATATTGCACCAGGAATAATTTTAGATATTTTAATGAATCTCAAAGAAACTACCCTACAATTATTAGATTTTCCACACATTAAAATTTTGCACTAAGTGGAAATGTTTATTTTCAAAATCATTTCGAGTATTCAATGCTTCGAAGACATAAATAATTGCGAAACAAACAAATCGAAACCAGTCATTTCGACTAGTACCATAGTTCTAGTGTTAATCACACTATCTTCCGCATAACGTCTAAACCGTAACGCTTTACTTTCAGTTAGTGGACATGAACATAATAAGAGCGATCGTCTCGCCGAAGTGTGACGTGGACAGCAAATCCACCGACCCGGCCACGCAATCCTCGGTAAGTTGATTATCTCATTCGAACGAGTAAAACATAGTTTACCGTATCGAACGAACACTGAAAAACATAATTTACCATATCGAACAAATGCGTTTTCCTTGATCAGTTGACGAGAAACGGTTGGTGGTACTTCACCGCGAAGATAATGGAGCTCCTGGACACGGTGAGTTGAATATTTCGAATAACGTTCAACGCTCGAATCATTCGATTCGTTATTATTCCGCGTCAGCGGTATTTCTGTACGATCGTTCCTGAATTTCCCTGAATTTCTCTGCCGAAGGTTTTCTTCGTGCTCCGGAAGAAGCAGAATCAGATCTCCTTCCTGCACGTATATCATCATTCGATGACAGCGACGTTGTCGTGGTTCTACGTTCGATTCATGCCGAGCGAGCAAGGCGCTATCGTCGGTTTGCTGAACACTTTCGTGCACGTCGTCATGTACACGTATTACCTGCTCGCGGCGATGGGGCCGCAGTACAAGAAATACTTGTGGTGGAAGAAGTATTTGACCGTGATCCAGCTGGTAATCAACGTCCTAATAATATTACTCCGTTTAACACGTTAAGCGCCACGAAAATCTTAAGCGTTTTCCTATAAAGTTTGTCTTTTGTAACAAAGAAAAGCGGGAACGATTATTAATTACCTGACGTTACAATGTTTGCGTTACACTATTATTAACTTAGTTACATTATTGAACATTCTCATTTCACATCGGTTATCATGTGTGTTACGATTGTTTTCTAGTCATTTAGAAGCGTCAGTCACCAGTGACTGACATGCTTAACGTGTTAACGATGATCGAAGTAGTATAATTAGACCTAGTCGAATAGCAAAGTAGTAGATCAATGATTACGACTCGAGTGAGGAAGACTAATTAGTCGTCGGTATTAAGAGTAGTATTAAGTCTATTATTATTACTTATAGTATTGACCCTTTGCACTCGAGAGGTGACTCTGTCATCATTCGCTGTTGTTACGTGAAATATTTAAAATATCTTTGTTGCTCAATTTATCTGTGAATTATCATTAGATCAGGTTCAAACAACGTCGTTTCTACCTCGTCGTGAAATCTTGAATATTTCCAATACAAAAATTTCGAGTGCAAAGGGCTAAACAATAGAAGAAAACCACTCAATCCATGATTTCTCGCACACAGGTTCAATTCCTCATAGTGCTGACCTACCTGTGCATGCTGCTCGCGATGGACTGCAAGGTGTCGAAGTCCCTCACGTATTTCTTCATCACGAACATGGTGATCTTCCTGTATCTGTTCGGCAACTTCTACAGAAAAACCTACAACAAGAAGACAGTCTAACACTTTGCGCCCCAAACGAGTGGCAGGATACGTATATCCTAGCGACTGACAAGTGCAATTATTCGTTCAGAGTCACACGTGAAAGATTCCGGAAGCTCCGACCGTTAATGAATGATTCCTGTTCGCGATAAGCTGAGTATCGATCCGCTTGATTCACTGAAATGGGATTAATCCTCGAGCGTAACCGAAGTCTGAAATTGGACAAGCATCGACCTTGTTCCGATAGCTAAACGATCGAACGACAGCTTAGAGAGAACGGAAGATCGAAAATCGAAGGAACAAGGAAAGGCATGAATGGAACCGTACTACGTCGAGCAGCGCGATTGGCCGAAATTCGAACGCGAGAACAGGAAGAGGATTATTTTACAAATCGAGCTCGTGTTATTCGCCTTTTCGAACCATTTATTAACAAATCTGACGCGTCGATCGCGCAATGATCATCGATGATTCCTTACGAATTACTTGGGAACATACTGCAACGTCAGAAGTGTGATACTAAATTATATTCTATTAATAGAACATTATTCCCGTGTGTGAACCCTTTGCATTAGAAAGTTTCTGGAAACATTCCAAATATTCCAATAATCTACCATATTCTTGAAACTGAGAAAACAAATTTCAAAGTCTCTTGATTTACTAACAATAGATTATTCGAAGTCTAAATTATTTCATATCAATGTTTGTATCGGTGTACAGATTAATGTTGTTAATAATTCCCATCGAATCTAGCGACGATTCACCTGCCGAGTGCAAAGGGTTACCGTGAAGCGGCGGAAATCTGGAGCAGTGACGGGCGTTTCCGCGATGTAGGCCAATGGGACCGTCGGAGGCCCGTTGTTCAAAGAGGTGCCGATTATGTATCCGTGTCTCCGGCTGGGAATGCACGGCGGACGGAGAGGAACCGAAACCGAATCCACATCGCCGGGGGCTTCCCGTTTTCGGTCCGAGTCGGCTGTGACCCGAAATACGAGGACCGTTGCTCCGTTGCGCTGCCACGCGCTGCCGAACGAACGGTAACTGCTTTTTATTCGGCGGACGATTCACGCGACGCGTCGACTCTGGTTCGTTATCTCGCAACCTGTTCCGTGGAGCCATTTTTCTCTTCTATCGAGATCTGCTCGACACGTTCTAGTATGCTAATTCGCCGATTAGCTCGAATACTCTCCGAATCCTTCGCGTGTGTCTCTACTCACTTGGAACTGATGTAGAGTTTGTTGACTTTAATCGTTGCATTTGAATAATGTAATAATTTCAGCGATTCGATAACTTAATTTTACATCCTTTCCTATTGGGGATCTTGGTGTGTTTCTGAGCGAATGAGAATTTATTGGAGATCGAAGATCGATGGAAACAGGGATTATGATGAAAGATAACTACTGTGACATTTTCGAGGCTATTTTTCAGGGGACCTACTTTCTGGTTTAGCTGATGAGTCTAGCGATACTAACGAGGCCTTTTGTACGGTTTTTAATTTGAATTTTAACGGTGACTTTCTATGTGGAATCATTTATGCCTTAGGACACTACGACCCTCTTTTTAATTGGGAGCGTCTGTACAGCGTCTGTGTGACTTCTGAACACAACCCGAGCCGATCACTTAGTACACGGAACGAACAATCGAGTTTTGTTAATTAGTATGAGGGGCAGAGAATATTTTTGTACGTTTCATGGTACGGTGAATAGGATAGTCGACTCGGGCTGTGTCGAATAATATCGAATTCGAGCGATCCCGTCGATTCGTTTGGAAACTGGTGTATTTATAGATTGATAATATTTGAGACGCGTCCGTACCACTTTTCGAGCGAATCGATGGATCTCCCCGTTCTCTGTATTTAATACATCTGTCGCGATCGACGCGATGCGAGCGAAACAGCTGTTAATCGTGACACGTGGAAGCGAGTAATATAGTTGTAATTAGTGAAATACGGTTGAGGAGTGTGAATACATTTATTATACGATACGAATTTACTGTTCCTCCCTTTTCCTTCTACAGGAAACTTCTAGGATCTATATCCTGAGAATGAGTTATTAACTCACAGTTGCTCTGATTTTCTTTTGACACTAGAACTACCAGTCAAAATGACTGGTTTGGATTTTTTTGTTTAATTATTGATATCTTAGAAGCATTGAATATTCGGAATGATTTTGAAAATAAATAGATTCACTACAGTACTATGATGAATCTCCAAAGAAACTGAAAATAATCTATTGTTACAATTTTTATACAGATTACATATCAATCGTATTAAATGCTCGGTAGTTCTATTGTTAAGATATGAAGGTAACTATTGACAGTTCCTTTGAAGACATCAGGATGGTTACAAATGAATGCACCGGAGATTTTTATACAATTATGGTTTATTAGGTATTCGTTTGTTATGTTTAGTTCTACTCGAAGAAGACTTAAACTTTCCAATGACGACATTCGGTTACCAAATTCAAGAGGATATAACAGTTTAACCCTTTGCACTCGAGAGATTCTCAATTGTAATATGCAATACGTTCTAATTAGATTTATTAAGAAATCATATATGAATTAGGGAACTAAAGCTATTTTCTTGAAATGTTTCACGTATTGTGGTAAACACCAAAATTTAGAATGTTGCTCCATCAAATCATTTGGCGACTGGGAGCCTTCCGAGTGCAAAGGGTTAACACTAGGTTCACGGACATTTATTATAAAGGTTATTTTACTGGTCTTAGAAAACTTCATATTCATTAATTTCCATTTTCGAACTGAAAGGTTTGAAGGTTATACAATTAAAATACACATTTGACTAACTGCATCAATAAAAATCGACATAAGCATTTACTAAATAATATTTGCAACATTTGATATGCGTCAAATTGACGCGTTCCGTAAACCTAGTGTTAACTTGACAGCAACTCTCTCTCGGTTCCGTTAATTGAAGCACGGACAAACAACAATTGCATCGTACTCGAGTAATGTTATACATGCTTGATATGATACAAAACGACGCTATTGTCTGATCGTGTGTTCGGCCAGCTTCGATCAACGAATCCAGCGTCTTCGGTGGATCCATCCGACTCTCGCGAAGAGACGATTCGTCTGCGACGAAACGATCTGCCGCTATTTACATTACATGGTTCGCTGGTCCATGCGCGAAATTAAAATACACGCGGAAATGCGAATGCAAGCTACCGGCGACGGCTCCAAATTTAATATCACTCGCGCGTGTCGATCATCAAGGAAATCGCGTTCGATCTTCCAAAGCCCGTCCCCAATTTTGCCTTCGGAATACTGCTGGCAAAAAAGATATCGATCGAAGGATCGACGAGAACTCGATGAAACTACAATGAACACAGGCGAGAAATGAGAAGTTACCTTCCAAGATTAACCCTTTGCACTCGGATGTTTCTTACTAGAAATATTTAGCATTTCTTTACGAGGCGAAGACGATGTTCTTTGAGACTGATTCGAAATCACCAGTACATTGAGGAACGAAGCTGTTTTATTCCAATGCTTCACGTATCGTGGCATTATGCAAAGTTTAATATTAACCCTTTGCACTCCAGAGGCGCCTCTAAAAGGCTGAATGCATTTGTTCATGCAAATTGCATTCACTTGCAATTACAATGTATCTGGTCTTCGTTTCTCTACTTTACAGGATGGATGAAACTTGAAAACAGTGCTGCGGGAATTAACGCTATTAACGTTATTTTTATTCCCTTTGCGATTGTTGATACCGTGAAAGCGTTGAGTATCGAAAATTATTCGAAAAATCCAGGCCGTGAAAGCATCAAAACTACTAATATAAGATTCTTCGATCCACCTGCACTGAATACTGAGAACATGAGGAATACTGAGCTCGGTTAAACAGATCTGAACGTTTTCATGAGTATCAATCGTCGTTACAAGGCAAGGAGATAATAACATCCTGGATCCATTCGCCTTACTCTAGATTCGTAATCGCTTACAAGTTTCCTGGGGCCAGCTGATCTATCTACACCGATCTCGAACTCCTGGAGGAATCGATAGGCCTGAATAAATGTTTCGACGTGTGCACGTTATAAAATGCTTGTTCACTCATTGTACTATAAATGGTATTTTTATGGGATTCGCACGCTGATCGGTTTCGTCTTCGTTTCTGATCTATCTACACCGATCTCGGACTCCTAGAGGAATCAATAGGCCTGGATAAACGTCTCGACGCGTGCACGTTATAAAATGGTTGTTCATCAAGTGTGTTCTAAAAGGTATTTTGATGAGATTCGCACGCTGATCGGTTTCGTCTTCGTTTCCGGGGAATTTTTCATTTCATCAGTTTGTCGGGATACCTTCTCTCTTTCACTAGGAATCTACGGTCTTAAGAAACTAAGAGTCTAATCGACGCATGACCTCTTCTCATCTCCGTGAACCTGCGATCTCGTCTGCCCTATTTTCCTGAGTATGGACGACAAATGAAGATGACTGGGAGCGAACCGTGACTCTTGGACGCGGGACAGCCGAAAGGCGCACTCGCAATCTGCTTTCCTTTATCACTGGACGTCGGTATCGTGGACGAAGGCTTGAGAAATCGAACGAGACTAACCATGGTACATCCTGGCCGGTTCTCCTAGGACGGCTAGTTGGCTCCTAGGATCTTTCCTGCGTCCCGCGTTAGTCCGATTTCCCTTTCCCGTTCTGCAGGTGTCCGTTCTCGGTCTTCTTCGCGACGCCGACCTCCTTGCGCTCCGTCGGTCTGGAGTCCTTGCTGTCCGGTTGGTAGGCCTGATTGTAGAAGTCGGCGAACAGGAAGTAGAAGAAGATCGCGTTCGGCAGGATCAGGACCAACGACCACTTCGGGTAATCGCAGTCGTAGATGAGCAACTGACAGCTGTGCAGGAACGCGAGGCAAAATTGACCCTGCAAGAGGACAGTGTTTTAAATACTATAGCGGTCCCGGACGAGCCCCCAAGTTTATAGCGGGGCTACTATTATTATTAGATATTGAAAATGTGGATCTTCAGTGAAAAGAGAATTAGGAGACAATATATAGGTTTGTCACACTCGGTCACTCATCTGGGAAAACCCTACAATAATAATGAGTCACTTTTTTCTTTTTACGTAAGAAAGCGTAACGAGAAGAAAGGATGGTTGTAAGTTACGTTTGATAATATTTTTAACAATCTATCTATTTTAATATTCTAGCGAAACACGTACCATCTGAAGGGTCGTAATGTACTTCTTCCACCACAGGTACTTCTGGTATTGAGGCAGCAGGGCTGCCAGCAGATAGTACGTGTACATGATGATGTGCACGAAACTATTGATGACACCTTTGAACAATAAGTGCATTGGTCGGTAAATGGGAAGTTTCAAAGAATTCATGTATTCGTTAGTTTTCATATTCATTAATGAATCAACGATTTTTACAGGTGTGATTGAAGCAGACGATCAAGAAAATTCTATTATACACAGGAACTGAGGATAAACTGAGACATCTATTGACCCTTTTCACTCGAGAGGCGCCTTCCAGTCATTTGATTTGACCCAAGAACATTGTAAAATTGAAAATTCAATATTAAATTTTATATGAAACATCCAAATAATATTGTTCTGTCATTTAATTTACACAAGGTATTTCTTTATGTTAATTGCAAGAAATATCATTGACATTTCATCAGAAAATAATGAATATTTATTGAGAAAAATATTCCCTAGTGTAAAGGGTTAATTAGTAAATATTATGAATATCAGGAAATCCTGTGATTTGAGACTGAGAAGAAAGCAAGGTACCTATGAACGTGCCGTGTCCTCCTGGATAATATTTGGTGGTGCCCCACGACACCATGGGCATCACGGTGTGATGGTACAAGTGGAGGAACGTGATCTGGCTGTCCTTCTTCCGGAGAACGAAGAAGACCGTGTCCAGCAGCTCGGAGATCTTCGCCAGGAAGTAAATGTACACGCCTCTCGCGACCTACAACGTGAAACTGATTTACCCGACACGTGACAGACGTGGAAATCAAACGAGCGAACGCTTCGTGCAGTCTACACTAAGGGAAGCAAAGCTGATCAGGAAAATTCTCTGCTGTAAACTTTCGATTCTTTAACGCCTTGACTATGGCAGAATGTTGCGTTAGATATTTCTAAGGGTGAATTGAAACCGTCGAAGCACTCAATTAATCATTCAGTAAGTCAAATAGCATGATTTGATATATAATATAATATATAATATAATATTTAATATATATGATTTAATAATATGATTTTGTTAGCAAGGTACTTTGTTAGCAAGGTGTAAAATGGATGCAAATTACCCTCATAGCTTCCGGCGTGTTAGAGAAGTCGACAGGCTGACACTTCCAGCTGTACTTTCTCAGCCATGCGCCGTCCAGACCCTCGTAGAACAGCCAAAAGCTAAGGAGCACCTGCAGGAAGTTGTAAACGACGAGGATGTTCCTTAACTGGTACGGTTTCCTGTGCTCCATTTGCTTCGGGCCCCATGACAAGCAGAAGTACAGGTAACCGATCAACAGGCTGAGTCCGGGAACAGGCGAGGCTATCAGGAACCAGTCCTTCGTCCTTGGATCTGTGGAATTTATTTTTTCACTCTTTGCACTCGAAAATTTTGCACTAGAAATATTCAATTTATTTTTATGAGGTGTAGATGACATGTTAAATACGAAATTTTACAATTTTGATGCACCAATCGAGTGGTGACTGAGGGTCACCTCTCGAGCGCAAAAGGTTAATTATCACTGTCATCCAATTCGGCAATATTCGAAAATTCGATCTTTAAAACTGTCATAAATAGAATTGGCGACAGCGATTTACGGATTCGACTGGATAAAATTATCCATTGAAAAGACCGTATCTCAACCATGGCAATATTTATGATACAATATTCTCTTAGTTCAAAAAAAACTGATTCATTATTCCATTCCGAAAATATCGACATTTTAGGAATGCAAGATTCGCCAGATATTATGAAATCGACCTTCACAGTATTCAGAGAATTTTATAAATACGAAATTTCAATGAACATCGCGTCACTTTTTCCAACGAAATTCGGAATTACGTGAGCGAGGTAACCCTGACACAATAGATGCGTCGATGCGTCGATGATCTAAGACGAAGCGCTCACCGGAGAGGTCGTGGAAGACATAGTGGTAGAACCGCACCACTGAGTTGTTGTAGATGTTGGACATCCTGTCGAGGGAAGGTGTGCCGCTGGCGTTCATTGGATAGTCAACTGAAACGAGAAAGAAACAATCGCGATAAAGTCCTCCAGCCGAACAATACCTCGTCAAATTAGATTCTAATCTTGACTGTCGCGTTCGAGAGATCAACATTAACACTAAAACTACCGAGTTTTTAATTTTGTTTCAATCGACTCTTGAAAATTTCGCTATAGAAACTCCAAGAGTGCATCCGTTCAGACTGTAATTGATTTACAATTCAATTTGCGTAGTACCGAATGAATTTCTTTAATAATTTCTCGGAGAAACGTTTGTTACGAAGGAAACGATTGAATCACCTATCCAGCTTTCTTACATAAACACACGAGGGTTCTATAATTAACACCGCAGGCGAGAGCTTGACAATCGATGGAACTCGTGTATTTTTCTTTGCGTCTGACCATAATCGACTCTTTCTACTTACAGCGAAGGCACTACGCGATGATCTCTAACACTTCGTGAAGTTACTCTTCAATTGTTAACTTATCTTTTACATTGATAAATGAATATCTTCCATTATTTTCTATATTAAACGGAATGAAATATTATTCTGATTAATAATAAATTATCGATAAACACGATTTCATTGGAAATCGAAGCGTCAGAAATTCAATTTTACTGCATCCGTCCAATTTATTTTTGCGCTGATGGTTATGATTTTGAAGCTACATCAATTAACGACCAATTAAGTCCGATGTTCGCGTTAAGCAGGGGAACACGGATTCCTGAGGTCAAGAGGATCGACGAACGTGCTCGTGGGAAACGGTAAATAAATTCTGTTCCCCGGAAAGATTGATCTATTCCGGCGCGTGTCGGGGTTTCGCAAGGGTCGACGCTGGCCGATTGCTCAAATCTACATTCCCAGCTGAAATCTGCGTATGAACCGGTTCCGTGTCGGACTGTTCGGTGGAAAGCAGATGAAGGAGTGGGGCCGGTCAGTTTCGTAGCTTTTAATGACACCGTTTCAACGGCTTGCTCAATGGCAATGTTATGCTCCGCAGAGGAATCTCTGCCGTTCTCTTTTTCTTCTATCCGCGCCCTGACGCGGACCACCGGCGTTAACCCTTTGCACTCCGAAGTTTTTCGCAAGAAATATTTCAACATTTTCTGACGACATTAAGACGATATTTTGTGAAACTAAGTCGACGAGAAATTCACGCGAATCGACGGACAAAGCTATTTCGCGTCAATATTTCTCAGATTGATGTGATATGAAGTATATTAACCCTTTGCACTCCGAAGTTTTTCACTAGAAATATTTCAACATTTTCTGATGAGATAAAATTGATAGTTTCACAAAATAAGTCGACGAGAAATTCACGTGAATCGACGGACAAAGCTGTTTCACGTCAATATTTCTCAGATCGATGCATTATATGAGGTATAATATTAAATATCAAACTTTATAGCTTCACTGTAGGAAATCAAGCGGCGACTGAGAGTCACCTCCCGAGTGCAAACCGTTAATAACTAATTGATGAGGACAACAATTTTCTTACAGGTTCGTTTGCATTCTCGGATAAACGTGTTCCAGAAAAACCGAGATACCAAGGTGATAAGTAATTGATAAACAATATGCTGAATAGGCTCAATGAATTTTTCCTTGATTTTGCATTTAAGACCAGCAGCAATAAGGAAGTGCTTTGTATTGTTAATTCGCGAACGTTAATGGTGGTTGCTATTTTCAAACCAATCAAGGCTCTTCACAGAATATTTTACCTTTTTGCGTTAACCGATCGCATCAGCGTGTTTGTTCAACTCGGCTAGACAGCATTAAGTGCTACTGATGTTTATTAATACACGCGTTCGAATATATTCAGCTTCGAGTAGAAGTACTCTGACAATAATTGACTGTAAAGAATACGAAACCTGCAGATTCCGCCAATTTAAGTATCGAATGCCTAAACACTAGAGAATTAGGAAACTACATACCGATTTCTTGCCGTTACAGCAGTTAAATAATTTGTTTGCAACTTGTTACTGCAAACATGAAAGTTTCATCTCTGCGAAACGTCGACATTCGTCCGCAAAGGGAAATTATTATTCTACGCTTCAAAACTACAATTGCGAACGAATCTAGTAAGTAAAATAAACGACGGTGCATTTAGCGTCAATTCGAACGAACTGCCACGCGGTTAGGAAAAATACACGGCCAGCATCGTGTTAAGTTTACTGCAGCTCGTAAAGTTACGGACCTTTCCTCTCGACGCAACTGGAACAGAACAAAGGACGAACCCGCGGCGCCGCGGATGGCGGCGCTTAACGGCGCCGAAAGCAAGGACAGCTGGTGCCGTTACGACCGCTCGTAAAACTTGAATGAATCTTGTTATCGATAACGTAACGGTTACCTCAAAGACCTAGCCACGACAAAAAGGCTCGTCGCTCTGGAACGTGGCTCGGATTGACGAAACTGCGTTCCGCGGGAGCCGTGCAACGCGTTTTCTTCTACCACTTCTGGGAAATCACTTTAACAAGTGTAGTATCTAGAATTTTTAGCGCAGGTTAAGGTATTTTTAAGAAGAGTGAATGTAAGAATGAATGCGAGTGAAGGACAATAATTAATATTAAATATCAAATTTCACAGTTTTGCTGTGTCAAATCATTCGGTGACCTAAAAGCGTCTCTGGAGTGCAAAGAGTTCATGTTGAACTTTGTATAATGCCTCGATACGTGAAGCATTGGAATAAAACAGCTTTGTTCCTCAATGTACTGGTGATTTCTCTTTAAATTAGTCTCGAAGAACATCGTCTTCGCTTCGTAAAGAAATGCTGAATATTTCTAGTAAGGAACATCCGAGTGCAAAGAGGTAAATAAATATATTTATTCCTAGTAATATAATATAGTAACACTATACAAGGTTCGAGAAACTTGTAGTTCTTGCGTCCAATGGACAAATGCGTTTAAAGATCAGTTAATATTGACTGAAAGGAACCCGGTCAAGTTTTACGTAAGACTAAATTGGTTAATTGCCTGCTGGAAAGTGGTTAGCGTAACGTAACGATTGCCAATAGAAAAACCACGTTCAACTTGAGTCGGAAAGAATCGAAGGAAATTCGCTTTTCATGGACTATGCTCGAAATCATCGTTTAAGGGAAATTAAGAAATAAACGACTAAGATAAATAGATATTAGGTTCCATCTTCCTTCATGCTCGGCGACGATTCGGGGAATAAAATTTTCATAGAGAAACGGATGGAACAACGTCGAACCGATGATTACGGTGATCAATGGCGGTCCGGTACGAAACCGGCCATTACAGCGGCCAGCGGAGCGTCCCAAACCGGCTGCGCTCGGCTCGAGCGTTCAATAACGAAGCAGCACGAAACGCGTCTGCACTAGCCACAGCCGACTTCACTTTATTCGCGCTAGACTTCATTTTCCCCCGGAAAATTTCACGGCCAACGTGCACTTTGTATCCAACCGCGTGCTCATTTCGTTGGAAACCTTTGATTCAACACTGTCTTCCTCCCCGTTCGATCGTTCCGATCTTCGTGACTTGGAAACTTCTTTGAACAGTGACATTTCACGAAACGTAACATTCTGATTGCTTCCACAGACCGAAAAACGATGGTTTTTATTTGGAACTGATCGAAGAATTGCATATGCAAATAAAAAATATCATTCAATGGATTCGCTAAAATGAAACTATCAGGATCGCTTAATATAAGGAAATTTTATTGAAATAAAAGAAATTGCAGTTTTCCAGTAACTTCGCAAGGATAGAACAATTAGCGCGAATCAAGCAATTACCTTCTCGCCCAATAAACGCGATTCCCAGAAGAATATTCAGAGTACAACCGAGCGTGAGATGCAGCGTAGAAATCGGAAGTTACAAGTTAACGATCGGTCCGGCGATGGTTCCGAGAGATTTCGCGCGCGGAGGTATTCGTGTCGAGCGTAATCGCGCGTCGGAGGCTCGAGCGTAGGGGAAACCGCGCTCGAATTCTTCCTCCCGCGAGAAAAAGAGGCAAGAATCGGCTCGGACGATCCGCGCGGGCGAAGAAGGAAGATGATCCGCGGTTTCCACCGATAACCGATTAATGCGGTGCGACGCGACGCGCATTTTCATTAACCTGAATTTCCCTTTTTTCCTCGAGCGTGCAAAACGGGTACCGTTCACTTACGTGTCGCAACTTCCTCCCGGCCGCTGTTTATTAACGATCCGCGCTACTTCGTCAGCTCGGAAACGTGTCACTCGTTTTTCCTCGTCCCCCACGAAGCTTCCGCGGCGCGGAACGCGCGCGACCGGTAACGAGCTTTCCTCCGACGTTCGACAACGGTTTGACGAATACAATTAGACGGCGCCGGCAATGTACCTTCGTTTTCCGTCGTGGATATTCGAAGCCTGGGGAACGCGCAAGAAATTATTGGGTCTGCAGGCGTTTAGATATAAAAACCGTTGCCTATCCTAGCAGCTATAAAGTCCAGGGACCCATTGCTCGTCGTTTTATTAGTTGATCCGTGGATCGAGCCCAAGATAGGCAATAGCTACGAATTTTATACCAGCGTGTAATTCAAAGTCGAGGCGATCCTTGGGGCTATCGCTGCTATGGTCGTTAGAAATTTCCGGGTCTCCGGCTAACGGAAGACAGACCGCCGGCGGGGAAGTATAGTTTTCCCAATTTTGGGAAAACCAACCCTAACCACGCGTCCGTCACTCCTCTACTAGCGGAGATATATATGTAGTGGGGCTACTATTATTATAGATACTGAAAAGGTGGATCAGTAAAAAGAGAATTAGGAAACAATATGGACAACACGTAAAAATACAAGTTAATACCACGAAGGCCAACACACGACTCTATCACGCACGAAAATGTTCTCCGCTGTCTCTCACCAAAATGTCCTCGCACGCATTCCCACTCGCTTTTAACACACACCCCCATTCGCTCTTTCTCACCCTTGCACCCTTCTCGCATCTTTCATCCATAGTCAAAATTCACGCAGTCCGTACACGCTTTTCTCACGGTCCAGTCAGTTCCAGACACTCTTCCTCGCATTCTGTCAGCCGCTCG